ACAGACAACACAAAAAACAAGAAGGGGGTCGTCGCAACCAAGAAAGGGGGGGGGGGGGGAAAAAAAGAAAAAAAAAAGAGGAAAAAAGGAAAAAGGCGGAGCCCACCCGCCTTTAAAAAAAAAAAAAAAACTTTTTTGGAAAAAAAAAAAAAAAAAACAACAACACTATGGGGGGGGGGGGGGGGGGGGGGGGGGGGGGGGGGTAGCCACGGGAGATGGACACTACAATAAAGGACACTGTGGGGGTGCAGAAGTAAAAAGGTGTAGAAAAGAATGCATAGGCACGCTCAATATTGCCCTAACATGTTTTTAATTACTTAATTTGTAACTTAAGAGACGACTGACTGTATTTTCCAATGATTTCTTTTCTAATCTAGAAAAGTTTGGAATCGTTTTTTTTTTTGCGTTTCATTGCGTGGAGCCTTGTTTTCGTTGTCAATTTTTTTTTCTTAGAGAATGTACATAGGTATAGATATTTTTAGATTTTTAACACTGTTATTTCTATAATTATTTTAATTCCTAGGCTCATTGGTTCACTGTGCGCCCTGTGTAGCATTCTAAGCTGTAGGCAACTCAATTTAAGAACTTTGTTATAATGATAATACGAGAATTTGGTGACGATTGAATTGACATTTTTTTAGAGTACACTTAACAATTATTCCTCGAGCCCGAATGGGCTCTGAGTCAAGAGGGCGAGAAGAATAATTGTTTCAGTAAAATCCAACTAGTTGGTCAAAAATATCAAGAATAAAAAAATTTGGCTAGTTAAAGCAAGACTTTAATCCTTTTTTGCTGCCAAAAAGCCCGCGCGTTTCGTTATAGTGGGCTATAACATATAGCCTAGTAGTAGCTCAACCAGTCAGAACGCAGTATTCAGGGGCACCCAACGGATCTATTCCTCACAATATCTGTTCTACAGAGAAAATTTTGCTGGCTGGGAACTGAGGTTTCGGCTGTTCTGCTGGGAAGTAAAGTCTTAAATCTGCGGTCGAGAATTTATCAAA